CTCTCCCTCTCCCTCTCTGATGCTCATGGGAAGGGGAAGTCTGCAGGAGGATGCCTGGATGAGAGCTTCACACTTGAGAATCTCTCCTGTCTGTCCCACAGCCTTGGTGCTCCTTTGACATCATGGTTGCATTTCCCTTCTGAGGCGAGGATGCAGTGCGTGCAGCAGGAGGGATGAGCCCTGGCTGAAATGCAGAGATCCAGAATGCATAGCTATTGCTTCCCACCCATAGCGGTCCTCAGGCTGCTGAAATGTCAGACAGCAGCCACCGCTGGGCTTCTCTCCCATGTTGGTGCCGAGCGAGCAGGGGGGCACCAAGATGAAGATGCTTGGTCAGTTTTTCCTGTCCCTGTATAGAAAGATTTCAATCCACTCAACTCTTTGAAGGCCCAGAAGAAAGCATCCCTCCAGGCATCTTGGGCTCTGGAGCCTGCGGAGCTACAGGCAGCCGCACTGGCACATGGGAGAGGACAGAGGCGAGAGCTTTCGGCAGCAGGGAGTATCCAGAACCCCTGCACCCACATCCCAACAGCAAAAATTGTGCTCTAAATGGAAAAGTCAGAAGTTGGCCAAGATAATGTACATCGTGAGCACCAGTGGTGCTTACATTTAAAAAGCAAAGGAGAAATTCATAGTAGAGCCCATACTGAGTAGTAGACACAATAAAAATAATGGGGAAGGAGGTGCTGGCTAAATACAGCAATTGCAGAAAATGATCTCTTAGAAGCGAATGGGCTCTCAGAGAGCCCAGGATTGGGAGACCAGAAACCTGCGTACAACCCCCAGTTTGGCCATAAGCTTCTAGAGCTACAACCCTCCCAGCCTTTGTCTTTTCAGACATAAAACAGGACTGGTTCTCACCAGCCTGGAGAACTTAGAGCATTTTGAACGTTAAGTGAGGTGATGTCTTGTCCAAAACTCTGCCACAGCGTGACAGTCCAGCCTAGTGTCATCAAGTTCAAAAGGAGGAGGGGACCCGAGAATCTTCAGAATGCAAAGGAGACGGGGATTTCAGAAGGGGCCTCTTCACTGAGGTTGTCGCTGGAGAGACGCCCACATTGTCGAACTGAGAAACGGCCGTGGGAGTTTCAGCAAAGGCAGCCTTGCCCTTAGAGTGTCCAATTATAGGGGGAAGTGGGCTTCCCAGGTTACAGGAGGGCGAGACGGTAGTTAAAGGTCTTCAAGCATTTCATCCATAAGTTAGAAAATAGTTATTCCCCCGCCCCTGCCCTAAGGCTTCTGATTGAGAAGACAGTGTTCCTTGAATCTGAATTCAAATCACAGTAAGAGCAGCATACAAATCTGTTTTACCTTAAGGCCCATTTCCATTCTCGTTTTAAGGCAAAAGAATGCAGTTCTACTTACCTAACAGCAAAATGAGGAGTGCCAATTCTTCCAAGCCCGGACTCACTGCCCCACACCCGGCTTCCTGGTCCATCCAGCCTTTAAACTCCAGCGTTGTGCTGTCCTCCGAGGACTTTTCCAAAAATGCCCAATCTGGGCCTCTTTCCTTTTTAGGATTTTTTCCCCTAGGTCTGTGTGTCTGGAGTGAGTTTGCCCGCCCCCCCAGTGTGTGTGTGTGAGTGTGTGTGTGTGTGTGTGTGTGGGTGTGTGTGTGTTGTGTGTGTGTTGCTTGGACACAATAAGATAGTTTGAGTACTCTGGGTGCACGGCCCCACCCTTAAGGCTCATGGTTTAACATGCATGCATGTAAATATGTCTCCACATAGTCCTCTGTCAGAAGCCCAGTAGATCTTTCTCTCCCCTGCTCCTGGATTTTAAAATTTTAGCCCTTGAAGAAACATTAGAGACTTTCTTTCCTAGGATCCTCATTCTACAGATAAGGAAACAAGCACAGACCACCCTTAAGGATCATGGTTTAACATGCATGCATGTAAATATGTCTCCACATATTCCTTCTGTCAGAAGCCCAGTAGATCTCTCTCCCCTGCTTCTAGATTTTAAAATTTTAGCCCTTGAATGAACATTAGACTTTCTTTCCTAGTATCCTCATTCTACAGAAGAGGAAACAAGCACAGACAGCAGGA